GGTGGCGGCGGTGGTGGTGGCGGCGGTGGTGGTGGCAGTAGTAGGAGCAGGGGACGAGGCGCAATAGGTGGCTGGCGCCCGAAGACAAGGTCGCGCCGGATTTAACAGGATAATGGTATTGTTGATGTTTGATGGTGAAGTTGAAGGCGAGGATAGTGAAAGATACTCACAAGATAGAACCGATCATGTGCAAGTGCAGAGAAAGTTTCTGCTAGTCTTACAAATATGTGTCGGCGTTGCTCGTGACATGTTAAGCCCGCACGGGCTCTTACAGCAAAGTTGGCTGTAGCAACATGTTGCATTATCCTCTTGTGCTTCAAACTGCACATCTTCAAGCCCTTGGTACCACCTGAACAAATACCCTGCGAGATAGCAGCAACTCCGAGTGGAAAGACAGCAAGCGTACATCTGCTGGATAACACATGCATGCCGCAACGAAGGGACAATCTCCTATCAACGGGTCGAAAACTTTTCTGAAATTAGCCTCTAAGGCGTTGCTGGCCCGCCGCGTGTCACCCATGGCGCTGTAGACCGTTCCGAGCTGCCTGGCATGTGCAGGTCGGCGGGTTCGGAGCTCGGAGCTGCTTGGCCCTTCTGCGCATATTGAACATCTTGTAGAATGGTTCGCATGGGGAAACGTGATATGGAAACACATGATCAAAGCAAACACGAACAATTAAAAGGTGAACACGATACGGATCTAAACCTCACAGCAACACATGTTTAACAACACAAGCAGGATGGGTAATCGCAAGCTCAGAACGGCTACAGTATCGAATCGTGTTTAATTACGTGCCAACGACACACACACACACACGCCCACAGAGTTGAGTTGTTGCTGCTGTTGCTGCTACTGCTACTGCCACTTCTACGGCTACAGCTCGTGCTCCTGCGCTCCTGCGCTGCTGCTCGCTGCTGCTGCTCCTGCTGCTGGTGCTGCTTCTACTGCGACTGCGACTGCGATTGCGACTGCGACTGCGACTGCGACTGCTGTGTTATGGAAAATGCCATGCGGAATTCTGAAGATTTCCATCCTAACGGACAACCTTCTTACTAGTCCATATATGTTGGTGTCAGCACCAGCACTGTGGCGTGATCCAGCTACTCTACTCGACAAGAACGCAAGGCAATCCTTTCATCTGAAGCCAGTGCACTGTGCGGAATCAGGACTCATGGCAGAGGCAGCGAAATTAATGCCTGCCAATGCTGCAACTGGTTCAGCTCTAACTCGGGAACGGTCATGAGTCACCACGCATGACCTGAGGGTCACGCCTCGGGTCAAGCCCCTCTGACGAATTCTTGATTGTGGCCTACCCGTGCCGCCTTTTCCTTGTACTTCTGACAGCCGCCCGACTGCATCCTTGGTGCGGCTTGGCCTTCTTAGCTCGTGCAGCTCTTGCGCGTGCAGCTGCGGCTTGGCGATTTTTCAGGGTCTCCGCCTCTGCTGCTTGGCCGAGATTCTCGGCCAGACAGCACTCCAACGTGTCGACTCGCTTGGTCAGAGTCTGCTCGATCTTCATCCAAGACTCTAAGAGCTCGATGCGAACCCTCAGGCTGACTTTGACCGGCGCTGTCTGGCTGACCGTGCCATCCGCCTTCTCGACGCTGCTAGCCAAGGCTATAGCTGTGCATGCCTCGCTGCGAATGCTTCTATCGACCATTGCTGACTCCCTGGCAGGCTCAAAGGAATCGCCAACTCCGATCATCTTCTCCAGAATTTCCGTTCGGTGAATCAGTGCCTGCTCTCCGCTCTCGCGGCGACAGAACTGCCGCTCCAGCCGATGTACACGCTCAACCAAGTCCTTGTTCTCGATTTGCAACCTGTCCACGATGTACATGGATTTCTCTGTGTCTCTGCTGCCCATCTTGACTAGAAGACGCAGGCCATCCATTTTGGCGACAATGTTCTTTCCGATCTCCCAGGCATCACGCATGGTCTCATCCAGATAGTTCAGTCGCGTCAGCATCACCGACTCCCGCGACACAAGCTGTTCAATATTCCTGAGGCGTTGCGTGAAAGGCAACTCACTCATCGCCTCATCGACCATCGTTTCATCTGTCCCGCCTATGACCTGCTCAAGGACCTCGATGCGGTCCTGCACACAATAGTGCCGCTCGATATGCTGCGACAGCTTGTTATCGAGGTCCTGGAACATCTCTTTGCGCATGGCAGCCTCATCTTCGAGTTGCTTCTGAAGAGCAAGCTGTGTTAGCTCCATTTCCCGTTGTCTCTGCGCCTTCGTTGCTAAGCTGTCTTCGAGCTCGGCGGTCTTCTGCTCGAGCTTGGCCAACTTCTGCAGCAACGCGGCAACAGGCAGTGCAGGCACTTCCTGCGAGTCTTGCTGGGGAAGTTTATGCTGCTCGAAGGTCGTGTGCCAGCTGAGCACCTCTCGCTCCAGCTGGTTCTGGGCCTCGAGCTGCTTGTCTGCGAGGCCGGTCAATGCAGCTTCATGTCGTAGCCGCTGCGCCTCCTGTTCCGACTTCAGGACCTGCATCTCTGCCTGCAGAGCATGCAAGTCGGTGCACTTGCAGCCTTGCTCTGGAAGCCTCGGCTGCATCTGGGACGGATCTTCGCGCGTCTGCGCATGCATGGCTCGCGCTATTGCCCGTCTGCCGCGATGCTGAAGCTACCTACTTCTGATTCCTCAGCCCAGATCTCAGAAGTAGAACGTGGTAGCAACAACCGGAGTAGCATGCTGGTGCCACTCGCGATGCAGCTGTATCCACCAGCGCACGCACCACATCTACGCGAGTGCAACTTGTACCTAACTAGTTCATGACAGTCCACGTGCAGACACATTCCTCATGCGGAGTGGCAATGGCAACAAAAAAGTTCACAGCAGGGGCTACAGAAGGCACTTCAAGTACAGAATCCATGCCAGCCTGACGACTAAGGCAGTATATTGGTAGACACACTTAGGCAGGTGCCATCGAGTACGCAGGCATCAATTTCGCATCCACGACCAGTGTTAGTACCGTTCTTACAACCGGTAATATCGAATAGCGGATAACTGTGCGACTATTCTTCTTACCGTAAAGTTACAATCGTGGCGCGTGGTCTCGCTACCACGGCTGCTGTTGCCAGTCGTATGAACCGCTCCGTATTGCTATTGCTTGTGCAGTTGCTGCGACCCTTCATGTGGCTGCCACAAATGCTACTAACAGTACGACTGCAAATCTGACACTGCTGCTGGTACTGCCGTTGCTGCCTCTGCTTCTGCTCCTACTGCAGCTGCTGCTGCTGGTGCTTCACAAATGCCACTAACTACTTCGACTACTAGTACCGGCTCGTGCTAGTTCTAGCGCTCGTGTTAATGTTGCTTGTACTGGTACCGATACCAGTTCTACTACGACTACTACGACTACGAGTAGTCGGAGTAGTTCCCATTTACTCGTCGCAGTAGAAGTAAGCAGGGTAAGCACCGAGGGTGCACCCCTTCATACACCCCGGCCCTGGACCTCTGCAGCGCTGCGGAAGCTGGCTCTGAATCAATCAAGTCCTCTAGAAGTGCCGCGCTTTCGGTCCTAAGAAAAGAGAGTTTCAAGGATGGAAAGGGTTGAACTTCAGGGAGGTAAATGTCCTGAAACCCTTGCGGGCTCGGGGTTTAGGGCTTCACAGGGCTGTCGATACAGACTCCGTATTCTTTGAGGTGCAAGCACTGCTCTATGACAATGATTTGTGGCTGCAATGCAGCTGCAAGGCATCCACTGTCGCGGCTGTCCTAGTCTGGGCTGGAAGTCTTCCGAAATGCTGAGACCAAACCACACGCATCTTGCCACATTTACATATCGAAGGGTAAGTACAGGGCTTAGGGGGGCACAGATTGGCTCCACCTACATGACAGCCTTTCAGCCCAACAACAAAGGCTGTAAACCCTACACCATGGCCTATGACATCTTGCAGCCCTAAACCCAAACCCTGAACCCTACACATCCACAACTCTTTACTCAGGTTTGAACGTCTGACGAGAATCTGCATTCCCTGCTCTAGGCGAAGGGCTGCCAGATCTCGGATGCCTCAGCTTGTGGTGGGTTTAGTGTTTGCGGTCTATGATTCTTGGGGTTCGAGGTTTAAACCTTGCATTGGCAGTCTGCATCTGCAGGGTTCAGGGTAAGGACTGTGCGGAATGTTTTTAGGCTCTCTCCGGTGGCCCTCAAGTGCCCGAAACGGAAATCCTCAAGCTTCAGGGTTTATAATGGAACTCTCAGCGTCCAGCAGTGACGTCATCGCTTTGCATCTTCAGCCTGAAACGCTGAGCCTGACTGACATACTTCAACCACCCTGAGCATCCCAAATTAGCAATTTAAGGCAAACCCTCAGGCTCCAGACTCGCGACCCCACTTTCGGCAACAGCCAGTAGGCCATACACGACCCTGCGCACAAAACAGGTCCGGAAAGTCAGAAAAACCTGACGTCCGAAAACCTTAAACCCAAAACTCCAACTCGACCCTGCCCCAGTCCGAGCAACATCGTGAAGCCCAAGGCCCTGCCAGTTTTCGGCAAGTGGGCTCCGCCTGCTCCAGCAGCAGTTCTGCCTTGTCCTCGAAGGTCCACACGAGGCTCTAGGACTCAGGGTAGCTGTGGTTGTACCGGGATTGCAAAGAAGATCAACGCAGTGTGCATTAACACCATGAGACCATACTTTTGTTTACCCATATATTATACATGTATCTGTAAATAGGAACAAGAATATCCAGCTGTGTCGGTCTGCCTGTCTGAGTCTGAGTCTGAGTCTGAGTCTGAGTCTGAGTCTGAGTCTGAGTCTGAGTCTGAGTCTGAGTCTGTCTCTGTCTATCGAGGCTCTGTCTCTGTCTGTTTGTCTGCCTGCCTGCCTGCCTGCCTGCCTGCCTGCCTGCCTGCCTGCCTGCCTGCCTGCCTGCCTCTGTCTGTCTGTCTGTCTGTTTGTTCGTTTGTCTGTATCTCTGTCTGTCCGACCGTGTAAACACATGCATGCCGTGTGACATGTAAACATGTATGTATATGTATGCGTATGTGTATGTGTCTGTCTACATGTATGTACATGTGCATGTATGTGCATGTGCATGTACATGTGTATGCATATACATATACATGTATATATATATATATATATATATGTATATGTATATGTATGTATGTGTGTATTTATGTATGTATATATATATATACATATGTGCTTGTGTATGCGTATACATGTGTAAGTCTGTGTATGTTGATGTATGTACATCTATGTGTACCTATGTATATGTATGTACATGCATGTACATGTATGCATATGTACATGTGTATGCATGTGAATGGCACATATGTGGTATGTATATGTGTGTGTATATGTATGTGTATGCACGTATGTATGTATGTATGTATGTATGTATGTATGTATGTATGTACGTATGCATGTATGTGTATATGTATGTATGTATGTATGTATGAATGTATGTATGTATGTACGTATGTATGTATGCATGCTCACGTGTATGTAAGTACGTGTATATGTCAGTGTGTTTGCATGCGTGCATCACGAGCATATAACGGATCACATCTTCGTCAACCAGTGGTATGTGCAATGCTCTCCTATTATCCCTGGTTCATATGTCAAGCGATTGTCTTCATTGAAGTAACTTTGCCTACCGGCAAAGCGACTATTACCCGTTTCTACGTTGCGCGGAATCATGTGCTAAATATTGCTTTCAGATCATCTCTTGTTTTGACTGTGCTTGGTCTTACGGTCTTAGTCTTAGCACCAGTATTGCTCAGCAGTGTCATTGCCCGATGTTAACCAGGCGTGGCCACGAAAGCATGAAGTTCTCGCCGTTTGCTGAGTAATGGCCAAGATGCAAGACAGTGCATCTTGATGTACGCCCCGGCAAGATCCTCGTTTGAGGATTTCGGATTCCAAGGCTGACAATTCATCGGCTAGTCCATGTTGCACATAACCACGGCTTGCCTGTGCAGAAGATTGCCGCTACGGCTGGCAGCTGGCAATCGAAGTTTCACCGCGTTGCATTTGTGCCGCAAGTTGCCTTTCAGATACCTAAATGTTCGCTCCGAAGGGCTCATGTTTTTGCTGCCCAGCTTGTGACTTGCAGCTGGGTCTGGATTGTGGCTGGATGATCAATCGGGATCTTGAAGGGCTCTTGCGGTCGCTGTCCGCACGGCTCGCGAAGCCGCAGAAGGCGTCAAGATTAAAGACTGACGCTTCCGCGCCGAGCCACGCAACCCGCTACAAGGTCTGGAAGAACTGAGCTGGAACTCTCAACATCCGCCTAGGCTCCAAAGTCGCGCGCAGCAGGCGCATGTCATTCAAGTCGCCCTTGTATCTCTCGACCAGCTCGGCGTACCTCCGGTGCAAAGCACTCAGGCCTAAGGCACTTTCTTATCCGTCGAGATCCCGACCCTCAGTTCCAATCGATGCAACTCGAAGCAACAAGAGGTGAAGAAGGCAAACGGCTAATCCTGATGTAGGTGTAGCACATGAAACCCATAATGCGTAATCACATACACACTGAGTTACTCTCCCTCTATCTTACTCTCTCTCTCTCTCTCTCTGTCTCGCTCCCTCTGCGTTCAGGGATTGTCACACCATCCGAAACCCTGCGATCGAAGAGTGAGTGTGTGCTAGAACGTGTCAGTTGAGTTCCGTTCCCTCTCGCTTTCTGGGGGTTTGGGGAGTATCATGGTTGCAAGAACGCGTGTCTGCTGGTCAGTGCGAGTTGGGTTCCGCTGCCAAACATTCCCATTCCCAAGGCTTCTTTCAGGATTGCAAGAATTGCGTAGGACTGCAGGCACTGCTGGTGAAAAACGCTGGACTGCAGGGACTGCGGGTGGACTGCAGGCTGCATCCACAGAAACATGGGACTGCAGGATCTATAGTCGCAGGATCTATAATCAGCGGAATGAGACGGATAGACATTGCACAAATGGACCTCATGTTTTCAACGATTACTTTCCACCGAAAACAGATCAGGTAAAGGGGGGCTCGGGGGTTGTTGTAATGGGAAGCATACCCCTCGGCCCTAGTTCCTGTGCTGCCGTGAGCCAGGCCTGTCTTCAAGCGAACGCAGGGCTGCCCCGTTGGCGGCGGCACCATCGGCAAAGGGAAGGGCAGACCTGCAACGCTTGCGACGCTGCTACTTTTGCTATTCTTGCAAGTACGACTCTGCCGCTACCAATGGACCACGACCACCATGAGGAGGATGACTACACCTTTTCCTGCTCTGGTTGCTACCTGCCAGCTACTTACCAGTTGAAACCCTTCTGTGCAGGAAGGCGGCCACGGAAACACGGGTTCGGCAGCATCCGGCTCCGAGTGCTGCAACTCTCTCTCCGTCGGCAGCTCCTAGACAGGCTTAGGGTTTGGGGTTCGGGGTTCAAGAGGGTCTGAGGTTTTTTGCCTGCTGCTCGGGCGTCGCGGTGTGAGGTCGAACGGCTGGTCTGTATGGACTAAGAAGGAAGGCTCGTAGCATCAAAGTTGGGGATGCCATCTGGCTTCTGGTCGTGTCGCCGTATCGGGTAGCCGAGTTCTGCATGCTGACCTCGGTCGGCCAATGCCACAGCAAAGATGCTGCAGTTTGACACTGGCATCAGGTTTCTAGGAATCGTACAAGCTTA